TTTGTATGTGGGTCGCCCCCACAGCATGGCTGATGAGTGGTGTAGGTCCATGCCAGGATCCGAACCCATAAACCCAGGCTGCTGAAGCAGAGTGTGCCAGACTTAACCACTAGTCCATGGGGCTGGCACCACTATTTTTTTGTTTTTAACATGTTGGCAAATACTAAAAATTTCATAAAATATAGTAATTTATAAATAAAGTATGTCAACACAAAATACTAATAAATTTCTTGTAGAAAATGTTGGAGTATTTAAGCTGCCTCCTAAAATTTAGAAATACCCAGAAACCATACAACTTCTGAATATGTGGCAACATTTACACAATCCTTTTTCAAAGTCTGTTGGTATAAATAGCTCTCAGTTCTAATTTCAACTGGTTTGTCTTCAAAACATGATATTTGATGGCAAAGAACGGGATCTTTTAAGAGTTCTTGTGTAGTTTTGATCTGTATGAAGGCACTGGACTGAACAAATGCAGCCCACAGAATTAAAAATTTGAGCACTTGAATGTATAGGATCATGCAAAACAGAGAATTCTGAAGTTTTCTGCCAAGGGTTTTTTAATGGAAAATTGTCTTCCAGAGGATTTTTTTCTCTGTTCTCCTTTGAAGCAGTGTCTTTTTCTTCCAGTGCCCGAGCAAGCATATAGCTAACTTTTCTTTGATGAGCCAAAGCTTCTTCTTTATCATTCAGCTGCATGCACAGAAATTAAAAATGTGCCGGTTAGTCAGTAAACCACAGAATAGAGAACTAGAGTCAGAAGTATTTCATCAAAATGTTCAATCTTTGATCTGTCACGTCAGTCAATATGAATAAATTAATTAGGTGTCCACTGATTCCCAAGCATTATGCTACATGTTACTGAGGATTTTTTTTTAAAGGAAGAACAGAAAACAGCATTCCTTCTGTTGAAAATTTTGTAAGTTATCTGAAGAGAGGGGGAAAATATATATATGGTGTGTGTGTATATATGTATATATAATATCAACATGCTTATTTCTGTAAAAGAATGTTGAAGTTACATATATAAAAAACTTTTATATATTCATATGCAGATAACTTTAACAGGCTTCTATAGGTAAGTATGTTCATATAACGTCAGTCTCTTAGTTATCCCCCATCTATGAAATGGGGATAACGGGACTGATTTCAGGGTTCTGGTAATGACGAAAGGATACAATCATTGTGAGGAAGTGCCTTGAACACTTTAAAAACTCCTGAATAAAAAGAAGGTCTTGTCATAAACTGTAGTGTAAGAGTAGATGACAGAGGTGTCGAGGTAACGACGGGGAGCCCCCTCTTTTCAGAGGTCTAGTTTTACACTTGCACAGGAAGAACATGGATGGGAGAAGTGGGAAGAACACGCAGGGAGTTTAAGGAGATGAAGATCATAACTCTGGAGGATGGTACCTCAGCTGGGAAAAGGGCATAAAGGTATGGAGTGATGAAGAGTTGAATTAATAGGAAGCAAAAAGAATAACCACAACCTGTAACAAAAAGAAAGCGAAGATACTAACCAAATCTATTAGCATCGTAAAGCCTTCCTGAGGATTATCCTGCTCTTCAATCCTCCTAGAACTGTTTTCTGAAGGGAGCATACCCAACAGTTTCTGCCCTAAGGTCTTCTTACTCCTTTGTGATGGTAATCCTAAAATTGAACATGAAAATCCAGTTAAGACATAAAAAGACACTCACTGATGTACTTCCAGGAAAAGAGGTAAGTATGAACCCAGGCTGATTCATTCCTAAATCAGTCAGGAAGCTGTCCTCTTCAGGAGACCTCTAGCATAAGTGAGTCAGACAGCACAGTGTAGTGGGAAGAGCACAGACTTTAGAGCCAGGACGGCAAATGCAGGTGACAGGGCCACTGTGAAAACCCAGAGCAACGCCCTGCCTGCTGCTGTCTCATCACACAGCTGCTCCTCAGCCCCAATCATGGCTGCCCTCTGGGAGAGAATGCAGCCCATGCTACCAGATCATTTCAGTCTTCCAGAGGAGCCAGCAATCCAGATTTGTATGTGAAATCTCCCAATTCTAAATGTCAGTCACATACCCACATTATTTGAGGACACTTACGCAGATCCAACAAAATATGTCTGCAGGCCACAGGTGGCCTCTGAACCCTGCAAACTCTGCTTCAGAGCCAGAAAGACCTGAACTTGAATCCTCATTTAGCCACACAGTAACTGTATGACCTTGGACAAGTTCTCTGAGCTTCATTTCCTCATCTCTAGAATGAGAATAACAGTACCTATGCCTCAGGGTTGCTATGCCATTAATAATAGAGCACGGGGGTTGGGGGGGTGGTCACGGGGGTGTGGACAGTTAGTGTTTCATCGGAACAGAGTTTCTGGGAAAATGAAAAGGTTCTAGAGATGGATGGTGGTGAGGTTACACAATGTGAATGTACTTAATGTCACTTAAAAATGGTAAAAATGGTAAATTTTATGTATATTTTACCATAAAAAAAGTAACAGCACAGTTGTGACAACACCTAGCCCAGGTACTGACATAATGTGTAAAAGTTCACATCCTGAAATATGTACAGTGATGTTCTTCATCCATAGAAAGGATGCAGTTTGTGGCAGAAGGTACAAAATTTATAGATTTATACGAAGAAAATTTCAAGAATGGTTCTGGAATGCTATGGATGGTCTAATAGAAAACTGAGAGCAGATAAGGGACAAGTCCCTTTCCAATCCTGATAAACTGCAGTGACTGGGGCTCACCCCTGACCTCTTCCGTGAACAACTGTGGCAGAGGCGAAAAGCCAGACAAGTTGATGCGCTCATCACCTTTGATGAGTGGATGAATCTGTCTCTTTTCAGTCTAAAAAAAAGAAATATGTTTATAACCTATCTGTCAGAACTCATCTAAGGTGCCATATCAAGAAGAAAAGTTGATGATACCTTAAGTGTTAACCAACCATAAGAAAATGACCTGTAACACTCATCCTGCACCTCTTCAGATTATTGAACTATACTAATAAATTGAATCCAAGTCTTGTCACTAAGAAACTCACAAAGAGCTGCTGAAATTGCTACAGACTGTAAAGGCTTTTCAGAGATAAATCAATTATTTTAAATTCCGTTTCCAGTCTCTCTCAGTGCCTTAACAGAAAACAAAGATTAAGAGCTTTACCTTTCAAGTCATATTTTTTATGGAAAAGTTCCTGAGGATTGTCAATGGCTAAGAAAGCCAGGAATTCTGGAATATAAAATGAGTACATACTCAAGTGCTGAAATGAATATGAATCTACCTCTTAAAAAAACCCAGCTTTGTCTATATAGCACTATCCTTATGGCCAACCTCCATGCACAGTTGGGGGGCCTTCTATGCAGGTGACAGGCATTCCCCTTCTTTTCTTCTTTCTCCCATCACTCTTCTCCCAACCTTCCATCAAAACAATTAAGATCAGATTTCCAGAGGGATTTGCCTTCATTAACACCAACGCTGTCCTCAAAGAGTATACCTTTAAAAATTTTGCAATCCAGCTCCTGTCAAGGGCCTGGCAGAGAAAAGAGGTGCCTGAGGAAGATCACCTACACATTTGTTGTCCGTGACAGAACTAGATATTCTTAATGTTTTCCACCGATTCCTAAAAGGCTATGTACATGAACTGTTAGCTTAATTCCCTGGCAGATCACCTACCCTGAGTTTGACATGAAGTTTGATACCTTCAGCTTTTATCAAGGGATTATTATAGAAAACAGCCATATAAATAATAGTTTGGTATTTATTGTAAATGACTATTGGACTTAGCCATTATATTTGCTCAATGCCATCTGTAAGTCTCATGTCAGAGGACTAGAAGTTACTTTCAGGACAAGGTGAAATGCCTCTTTAAGAATGCAAGTTGAGAAACATATTTTCCCTTTTTGCCCTGACTTCCATCTGATGAACACTAAATATATAGCCTTTATGATCTGCTTTTACCTACTTTCATAGTTCTTGTTTACTACTTCTATTTTTATTATTTCTATTCTATTTTTATTTTCCCTATTTTATTTTCCCTGCTTCTTACCATTTTAGCAAAAAGATGGACAAAGTTTAGTTAATGAAGCTAAAATTCACAACACTTGACCTGTACACTATTACTAATAGATAATATTTGAAAAGAAATATTTCAAACAAAATAGGTGTCTACTATTAAAGTTTCACTTTTAATATTATAAGATTTTTATTAGTTTTGAAGTTCATCTGAAAATGAGACATTGGAATTAGGATTAGAGATTTGACATTAGGAAATATTTAGAAATATAGTCGTCTATATTAAATTTTAATATTAAAACATTTAAACTTCTTAGAAACTTCACTTTAATCTTTCTTGACTGATAGTGGTTTCAAATTGGAATTTAATTGGAATTTTAAATGGAAGCAATATGAATTCTATGCATAATCCTGATAAATGAAAACTGATATTGACTATTTAGAGAAACTAAAATTTCTAGAAAATAACAGCTACTTTGTTTAAACTAGAGGACCTACTTCAATTGTAATTTTATTCTCTCATGCCATTTTTATATATTTTGTTTGCAGTAAACAATGATATTCAAAAATGGCCGTGGACATGTGATAGGCTTGTGAACCAAAACCTAAACCTTAACTTCTGTTTGTTTTTATAAGAATATTTCATTAATTTGTCCAACTTAAGGTTTTTCCTCTACCCTGCAATGTCTCTCCAGAATCACACATTTCAATAAAATGTAATTAAATAAATACATTTAATGTTGGGTTTCACTCATTTTCAATATTACTTCCTTCTTTGCAATTTCCCTTTAATCATCTAGTGCTCTGATTATCAATTTTTTCCACTAAACATGGTCTTGTTTAAATGAAATAGAAGAGTACTAAAGAGATTCTCCTGTTATTTTATGGTTTTGTTGATCCCAATAACTCATCTGCATATGTAACATCCAATGACTCCCTTTTTCCCATAGTTGCTAAATTTTTAAATAAATCAGAATGATATATGAAATTTTAATTATATTCTCCATCGTATTAACTATGCTTAATCAACTCTGATTATAACCAAAAACAACTGAAATTATGCCTGATTATTGCCATTATAATTCATATTTACCATCCTCTTTAAGGTGCTTCCAATTTATCCATTTTGTTGCTTTTTTACACATTTTATCCATTTGTGTCAATCTTAGTGCCTGGTCATTTTTCCTCATTAATTGTTGTTCAAATGCAATTCTGAATGCATCTGCCATTATGTAAGCTTCTTCTTTACTCTTCTGCAAAAGTTCCAACTGGTTTTGAAAGAAAGTTTGAGAGGTGTCAGAGGCAAAACCAGAACAATTCTTGCCTCAATGCTGAGTCAGATTAGCAAATGCAGTCTCTGTGTCTAGCATGAGTCTACTGTCTTTGATCTATTTCATCTGCTTAAACTAATTAGTACTTGCTGATTCTCTTCTGCAGTAGCTGCTCTCTCTGAACTAGATTACCAGAAGTTTCCCTTCTGCTGTCAATTCCCTGTTAATCCAACTCTTGGACCTGATTACCCTAGACAGGCCCTGCGTGTGTCCTGCCCAAAGAGGAAAAAGGGAGGATGCCAATGGCTGCATTTCAATTCTGCTTGGGCCATTCCAAACAATACCACTGAAAGTAATTATGCGTATCATCTTTCAGATACCTCCCATAGCTGACCCTGACTCTGACCTATGTAATCTTATGCTTTTCCTAATGAATTGTTAATGTTTAGCTGTTAGCTTTCCTGTATACTCTGAATATTTTAAATTTCATACCTTCAATAAAGGTAAAATATTTTTTAAAATTATGGTCCATGTACTGTATTTGTTATTAAAGCCTGATTATAATGGCAGCTATCATTTGATTAACACCAGGCATGTGCATGGCACTGTGCAAAACATATGTCTACTTCCTCTATTTCTCACAACAACCCTCCAAACTAGTTATTACCCGCCATTTAACTTATGTGTCCAAAGCCACAGAGCTAGAAAATGATGGAGCTAAGATTCAAACTTAGGTCTGCCTGGTATAAAGGTTCCTTCCACTGTACCTTGCTGCTTTTCTAATAAGCTTCATGTTTATCTCCCCATTAATCAGTGTTGTGGATCCTAATGATTTTAAGCATAAATGCACCTTTCCCTCTAATATATAGTAATTTTAGGGCCATGTACAGACAAAAGAAACAGAATTTAGGAAATATTAACTACAAACTTAGGCAAATAACTTTACTTGGCTACAATATTGTGCCAAGTACTATTTGTATTTTGGAACCATGTAAACAAAATCCAGTTTATATGTTAATGCTATCGTATAAAATTATAAGTTCCATAGCCAATGACTATTAAAGCTAATTATTGCAGATACTTCCATTTATTCTACTTTTAATAGAAAAACAAAACCAAAGCTTTTACTGTTTTGGTAATTCGATACCTCTTGTTTGAGCTGCAGAAGCATTTTCCGAGCAGTCACTGCGGTTTTGGCACAGGAACAGGGGCTCCCTCTGGGACCATGACAAAGGCAGGCTCCAAGGATGGCAAGCTTCAAATCCAAAAGCATTATGCTGTGACTAAGTGTCACACTGCCTAGCTGCACACACACAGGGGCACACACACACACATACTAATGCACATTTCTATTCAAGCATCTGAGTCAAAGAAACCGGAAAGGAAAACAAAAAGAAGAAAGCGTAGACCAGGATTTTGGGATCCAAATGGAAATTAACTACAAATGAGGAAAGAATGTTGTTACTTGGATCAAAAACAAAAAGGAGGGCCGGCCCTGTGGCTTGGTGGTTAAGTGCGCGCGCTGCGATGCTGGCGGCCCGGGTTCGGATCCCGGGTGCGCATCGAGGCACCACTTCTCCGTTC